GGAATATACTAATTCAGGATATGAATGAAAGTAATACTAAAAATAATAAGGGAGGTGAAATAAGAACTATGGGGAATGAATTTGCAGAAGAAGATGATGAAAGTGAGGACGATGATGATAAAAAAGAAAAGGAAGCGAAGAAAATAGCCAAATTGATAAAGGAGTACAAAGAAAAAAATATAGAGAATGCAAAAAATGATAAGTTGGACAGTGCTAAAAAAGGAGATCAAATGAGTATTAAAGATTGGTGGGACCAAGGAGAATTACCGTTGGAAGATGAAGTAATGTCACTGTCTGAAATGTCAACTCTCGGGATTGCTGATGAAAAGCTAGCATTGCATAGCCTCTCCAGCTCTCTAATGGATCGGGCTGAATGGATTAAATGGTCTCCTTTTTCATAAGGGGAATTTTTTCATGGATCTTATCATTTATTGATTGGCCAAAACCATTCTTTTTATCGCTGTAACTGTTTGCATTTCCACCACTTAAAACGTCTATAGTAACAATAATGTCGTAGTTTTACTTTTTATAAAACATCCTTAATTATAATGTGCTTCTTAATGAAACATTAAATATTTTATTTGAACCAAAGCATTAATTAACTATGCTTATACTATTTACTGAGATCGATGTAACTTTCAAAAAGGTTTGGGGGCATTTAACAGCTTTATTTGAAATGTGTTTCAGTCTTTGTCTCGACGACTTGTCAACATAAAAAATGGTGTGAAAAATATGGGCTTTGAGTGCTTCAATCCTTGCGGATAGATATCGTGTTTTCTATTGTCGAAGACTTGGGAGGTGACAATGCAAAGGTGAAAATGGTCTAATTTAATAAGAAAATTATTTTTCATTTGATATTGAGAGTAATTGTATTCGAGGTGTCCATCTGGAGAAGGCTGGATTTCTTTCCCTAGTTTAATTATGTTGTACGCTCTAAAAAAGTTTATTTTATTTAAATTTCGCTGCAATTTCTTCTTAATCTATCCATAATTATCAGTCAAGTTTGTTTCTAGCTGCTGAAGTGCCAATCCAGATTCATAATCGATTGACTCCTTGCTCATAGGTCCCTAACCTAATTATCGTTGTAGATACGAAGAGAAACTTGGTTTCGATGAAGATAACATCGTTAGGGGGACCTTCATTTCGGATGAAAGTGCGTGAAGAAAAAATTCGTTGGTCGATCTCACCAGATGAGGATGGATGAATCTCGTTGTACTGCAGCCGTTTGGCTTTTATACGATATTCATGTTGACGCTGTCCACAAAGCTTTCTCCATCGTTTCGGGTGAAAACGTGTGACTTTTACAAGAATGGCACCCAGCTCTGATGATGTCCATCATATGATGGACGAAAGCTCAGC